GGGTTGGCTTCGCGCGATTTGGCGCCGTGTAAGTGGCTGACCTACAAAGCGGGAAAAAAGTATTTGCTCCCCTGCTGATTTTGTACGTTTGCCCACTGACAAAGAAATGATCAGTCTATAATTTTAATGGTAGGTTTATTTGAACAGTGAGAGACAGAATAACAACAACAACAAAATCCAGAAAAACGCATGTCAAAATGTTATAAATTGATTTGCATTTTAATGAGGGAAATAAGTATTTGACCCCATCTCAATCAGAAATATTTCTGGCTCCCAGGTGTCTTTTATACAGGTAACGAGCTGAGATTAGGAGCACACTCTTAAAGGGAGTGGTCCTAATCTCAGCTTGTTACCTGTATAAAAGACACCTGTCCACAGAAGCAATCAACCAATCAGATTCCAATCTCTCCACCATGGCCAAGACCAAAGAGCTCTCCAAGGATGTCAGGGACAAGATTGTAGACCTACACAAGGCTGGAATGGGCTACAAGACCATTGCCAAGCAGCTTGGTGAGAAGGTGACAACAGTTGGTGCGATTATTCGCAAATGGAAGAAACACGAAAGAACTGTCAATTTCCCTCGGCCTGGGGCTCCATGCAAGATCTCACCTCGTGGAGTTGCAATGATCATGAGAACGGTGAGGAATCAGCCCAGAACTACACGGGAGGATCTTGTCAATGATCTCAAGGCAGCTGGTACCATAGTCACCAAGAAAACAATTGGTAACACACTATGCCGTGAAGGGCTGAAATCCTGCAGCGCCCGCAAGGTCCCACTGCTCAAGAAAGCACATATACATGCCCGTCTGAAGTTTGCCAATGAACATCTGAATGATTCAGAGGAGAACTGGGTGAAAGTGTTGTGGTCAGATGAGACCAAAATGAAGCTCTTTGGCATCAACTCAACTTGCCGTATTTGGAGGAGGAGGAATGCTGCCTATGACCCCAAGAACACCATCCCCACCGTTAAACATGTAGGTGGAAACATTATGCTTTGAGGGGTGTTTTTCTGCTAATGGGACAGGACAACTTCACCGCATCAAAGGGTCGATGGACGGGGCCATGTACCGTCAAATCTTGGGTGAGAACCTCCTTCCCTCTGCCAGGGCATTGAAAATGGGTCGTGGATGGGTATTCCAGCATGACAATGACCAAAAACACACGGCCAAGGCAACAAAGGAGTGGCTCAAGAAGAAGCATATTAAAGTCCTGGAGTGGCCTAGCCAGTCTCCAGACCTTAATCCCATATAAAATCTGTGGAGGGAACTGAAGGTTCGAGTTGCCAAACGTCAGCCGCGAAACCTTAATGACTTGGAGAAGATCTGCAAAGAGGAGTGGGACAAAATCCCTCCTAAGATGTGTGCAAACCTGGTGGCCAACTACAAGAAACGTCTGACCTCTGTGATTGCCAACAATAGTTTTGCCACCAAGTACTAAGTCATGTTTTGCAGAGGGGTCAAATACTTATTTCCCTCATTTAAATGCAAATCAATTTATAACATTTTTGACATACGTGTTTCTGGATTTTTGTTGTTGTCATTCTGTCTCTCACTGTTCAAATAAACCTACCATTAAAATTATAGACTGATCATTTCTTTGTCAGTGGGCAAACGTACAAAATCAGCAGGGGATCAAATACTTTTTTCCCCTCACTGTATTCCTACCCAACTATTCGCTGTATTGTGCAGTTTTAATTCTCTCAGATGCGGCTTCGCCAGGGGATCGGCAACCCAAGTAACAAGAAGAGGAATTTTATTCGAATTCGGTATATATAAAAAACACAACTCTGTATTTTAAGAGTCGCAATGCATTAAGTGGTGAATACGAGACAGTTCCTTAAAGAGCCGCAGGTTGCCGACCCTGGGCTATACGGTTGGACGTGCAACAACACGGTGTGTGTACTGCGTGTACTGTGTGTGTGCTGTGTACTGCGTGTACTGTGTGTGTACTACGTGACTGTGTGTGTACTGTGTGTACGGTGTGTGTGCTGTGTGCTGCATGTACTGTGTGTACTGCGTGTACTGTGTGTGTACTGCGTGTGTACTGTGTGTGTACTGCGTGTACTGTGTGTGTACTGCGTGTACTGCGTGTAATGTGTGTACTGCGTGTACACTGCGTGTAACAGTGTGCGTACTGTGTGTAGACTGTGCGTGTTACCTCGTGCGCTACTCGGCAGGCAGCTGTCTCTCCGTGTGGTTTCACTTCGTGGGCTTTATCTAACGCATCTACTACCACCGTATAAAGCGGGGGGGGGGGATGGGGCAGTAAGACTGCGTGTGTCTGTGTGAACCCTGCCACCCGAGTTCGATTCCCGCTCACGGCCAACACCGGTGACGATGATCTTAATCGATTCTGGACCTCCCCTAGGTCGACTCAGCCTCAAATGAGTACCTGGTTGCGGTGTGTAAACATCGCCAGGAGGAGAGACAAAGGCGTGCGTGGTGCTGGCCACCCACCCCCTCGCGTGCCGTAACCGGCCTTCATTGGTGCTGCTCGCTAACGGCACTTGCCCCAACAGTCTGATAGTGCTACACGGGGGATCTTTGTCTTTGCGTGTGAGGGTGGCCTGCGTGTAACGGGCCTATGATCGTATCACGAGGTATCTCGTCAGATTCGCGGAGCCAAGCAAAGGGGTGAGCCTGGACTTTGCGCTTTGTGGATGGGTGACCATCACGCATGGTAAACGGTGGGCTACCAGCTTGCAGGGGCTACGCCGTGGTGTGGAGTTGAGAATGGGAACATTTAAAGGTAACGTGAACCGGGGGGGGGGGGGGGGTGGGGGGGGGTCTGAATTGACAACTGAAGGGCCTCCCACGTCGGCCGTGGATACCGCGTCGCAGACGAAACTACTAAACACGTGCACGGTACCGTGATCAATACACTGCTGGATGAGGACCGATTGCCCGAGCACTCAGGTGCTCGGTATATTCAATTATCACCCAATGAAATGTGAGTACATGTGGGGGGAATCGAAGCACCCGCAGAAAACCCACGCGTGCGAGGGGGAAACACTCGATCCCCTACACACGGAACCAGACGGAGTCCACGTTTTTCTTTTTTCCGTAACCACCATCTCCTGGTGTTGCCAGGGTTACGGCTCCCCCACGACGCCCACGGGAAGGGAATTTCGCAGCCCATCTGCGCGTGATCCATCAACCCTCGCCGCTGCACTCCACAACGCTGGATCACACGTGGCCACGTGCAGCATGGCTGCCAACACCACGTGAACGCTCTCGTATCGAAGAGGCTGAATGCGCAGGTTGTATTGGTGCTTTGTAAAGAATATTTTAAAAAAAATTGACTTCAAACTTTCGTGACTGCAGGAATTCATATTCTTTGGTTCTTTCGGTAAAGTCACGTCGATAGAAAAAAATAACATAGAAACCACGATGTTTCGATCACAACACACGACGATCGCTTGTGTTATGATCGAAACGTCGTCGTTTTTATATTTTTTCTATTGCATTTTTACATTTTCTATCTACGTGACTTTACCGAACGAACCAAAGAATACCATTTAAAATGATAGGTCTCAAGACAAGACGATACAAATGTTTTCTTTAATATCCGTTGAGTACTGTGCTCACTCACAAGGTGCAATGGTCGTTTTAATCAAAAACAAATGAAAAACACACAACCCCGTGTCTTGTCGTTGTGACACCTTATCTCCCCCTGTCCCGAGAGTCTTAAGACTAACGCCGTACGTTCCAGAAGGCTACAAGGATAAGGAACGCGTTTTAAAGGTTCCATTGTTCACAACAAAACCGTATAATCACTTTTGTTTAATTGAAAGTTGCCGATGAAAAGCACAGGCATTGCATCAGCAAGATAAAGGCGCGGCCCTGCGATCGCGTGCTCCAGCCACTGCTCACGGAAGTTTCCTTCACTCGAGGGAGCCCCAGAGAGCCGCTTGAGATGGTCTCGTTGGGACCTACTCCTCCTCCTCCTCCTCCTCCACGCTGGTACCAGGCGTCTTGGAATAGGAGGGGAGTACCCTCACCTCCCGCCCCACCGCTCGCTGCCTGCGTGGCTTGTGCTGTTCCGAGGGCACCCCGTTGACTCGCGTTCACCGCGTCGCCCGCAAAGTGTTCGTAGATCCCCGATGCGCCTTCGGGTTCGCGGCGCGCGTGATCCGGGAGCGTCGTCCGACGTTTTAGCTCCGAGGGTTACGAATCGGCTCGGTTCCCGGAGAAGCTGCCGGCGCGCGTGGTCTCCCGAAACGTCGGACGCGGTTGGCAGACAACGCGCGCCAACACCCCAACACGGGGGGGGGGGTGGTGGGGGTGGGGGTGGGGGGTGGGACAGCCTCGCGGCCCTTAGCCGTGGAGCCGGAGAAGTTGCGCGGGGGGGGGGAGCGGGGGGGGAGTGGGGGGGGGGAGCGGGGGGGGGGAGCGGTGGGGGGGGGAGCGGCGTAGGGGTAGGTGAGGCGGAGGTGGCAGCGGAACCTCTCCACCCGCGCTCTCCGCTGCTGCATGAGCGCCTCATCCCGGGGGGGACGGAGGGGAAGGGTGTCTGGGAATAAGTTTGGGGGGGGGGGGGTCGGGTGGAGGGAGGGAGGGAGGGGTGGTAGGGGCTGTGGGTCGATTCAACTGCCGCATGCTTCACTCTCTCGCACGGCCGTCGCCTGAGAAGTGTCCGGAGAGTTGCCCCACGGAATGGTTTTGCCAGCGAGACGCGCGCCAAGTGGGAGTTTAACCTTGACCACCGTGGTAGGGACCAGGTCCACGCAACCTTCCTGTGCCACTCACTGTCTGTCTGTCTCGCACCCCTCCTCACTCCCACCCCCTCCTCACTCCCACCCTCACTCCCACCCTCTCCCCCACCCCCTCCTCACTCCCACCCCCTCCTCACTCCCACCCCCTCCTCACTCCCACCCTCACTCCCACCCTCTCCCCCCACCCCCCTCCTCACTCCCACCCCCTCCTCACTCCCACCCCCTCCTCACTCCCACCCCCTCCTCACTCCCACCCCCTCCTCACTCCCACCCTCTCCCCCACTCTCTCCCCCACCCCCTCCTCTCCCCCACCCTCTCAGCCACTCTCGCACAGCTCTGCATCTCTTTACGCTCACGATGGACGTACGGGGTGGGGACGGCGTTGGGGGCGGGGGGTGCGACCGACAGAGAGGCAGCCACAACGCAGCGCGGGTCACTCCGCCGGGTGCCCCACAACGCAGCGCCACCGCATTGCGACCCCCCCCCCCCCCACACCCGCCCCCCCCAGCGACATTGAGCGATGAGCGTCAACAGTGAACGTGGGAGGGGAGTGGGGGGGGGGCCTTCAATCGCATCGTCCCTTCCACCGAGCGGACTTGAGCTTGCGTGCAATTGTTAGGAGGCGCCTAAGAAGAAGTCCACAGGAATGGAATGGGACCCTCGCCTCGTAGCGGCCCGTGCCCCCCCCACCCCCACCCACTCCCTCCGGCCCGTGGGGCCCCGGTGCAGTTGCAGCGCCTGCGCACGACTCGACGTCTGCGCCGACGAGGGGTTGAGAGAGAGGGGGCAGGAGTAGAGGTGAGCGAAAGAGAGGGAGGGGATCGGACGAGAGAGACGGTGAGCAGCTGAAGCAAGTGCCAGGGTGAGAGAGGTGAGTAGAGAGGGGCCTTGAGGGAGGTGAGAGGAGAGGGAGGGGGGTGAGAGGCCGCGGGGGGAGGAGGGGAGGAGGGGAGCTGCGCTTCGGCCTCAGTGGAACATGGAGGGGTTGGGACGGATCATCATGGTGACCTTGCGGAGCGAGTAGGACGTCCCGTGGAACTCTGCCCAGTAGACGCCGTCCTGGTACTTGCTGCGGTAGTTCCCGCCCCGGTACCACACGCCGTTCAGGTTGGAGTGCGAGCAGGCGTTGTACCACCAGCCGCCCTTCTGGAAGTGGGCGCAGTTCCCTAGGGGCAGCGGCGGCGGGTGGTGGAGAGCGGTAGGGGGGGGGGGGCACGTGGGGTGTGGGGGAGACACGGGGGGCACGGGGTCAGGTGCGACGTCACCAACAGCCTTGATCAATCCGCTGCTGGATGAAGGCCTCCCCCAAGCGTGCGTACGCGCGCGTAAAGACACACCCCTTCCCAGTATCGCCTTTAGACTGTTGGGGCAAGTGCTGTTAGTAGCGAGCAGCGGCACCACCTGCGAAGGCCGGCATGACACGCACGAAGGGGGCAGCGTGGGTGACCAGAGAACCGCGCCGATCTCTCATCTCCGACAACTCCTCCTCCTGCTCCTCCTCATCCTCCTGCTCCTCCTCCTCCTACTCCTCTGCGCGCGCTCTCTCTCTCACCGGAGAAGTTGTCGCGATCCCGGTCGAGCGTGGTGAACTGACGCCCGTTGTGCCAGCCCAGCGAGTCGCCCGCCGTGCCGCGGAAGTGCCCGAGACGCAGGCGGTACCCCTCGGCCTCGCCCGCGACGCGCACGCTGCCGTACTCGGCGAACACTCGACGGCCCTGCCAATCCTCCAGCACCACGAGCAGCTTGTAGTCGCCGGCGCTGGTGAGCGCGTGAACGCTGTCCAGCCCCAGCCAGTGCTCGCCGTCAATGTTGCCGAACCCTTGCTGTGCGCGCGCACGCACGCGCGACACGGAGGGAGGTAGACTGCAGTGTTGTCAACTCATCGGTGGCGGTGGTGATACTGCTACTGCTGCTGCACGTGGCTGCCTGTGATCTAGAATAGTGGAGGTAGCAGATGCGAGTGTTGGTGTTTCACCGCGCGCACACAGAGAGGCAGACGGAGAGAGGTACGCGGCAGTGTTGCCAACTCCTCGGTGGTGGCGGTGGTGGCCGTGATGCTGCTGCTGCTGCACCTGGCTGCCTGTGATCTAGGACTGTGAGTTGATGGATCACCGCGCACAGATGTTGTGTGAAACTCGCTTCTACCCGTGGGTGGGTGTTGAGGAGGAGCCTTGCTCTGGCTGTCCCACGTGGACTTCGCATAGGATAGAGTGTTCCCCCCTCGCACGCGTGCGTGTTCTTTGGGTGCTCCGGTTTCCTCGCATATGTACACACTCATTAATTGGCTGATAACATCCTCGTATATAGAAGACGGCAGATTCGGGACATTTTTGGCGCCGGCTGATCGCGTGGCTGCTGCCTTCCCACTCGTCTGCGGTTCTTCCTGGCGCCTCTGAGTAGCCCTCTCTCCCCCCCTCCCCCCCCAGAGAGTGAGCGAAAACTGTGCGACGTAGCTTTACAAATTAACTTCACCGTCATCATCACAATCACCAGCTTAATAATCATCACCATTCAATTGGAAAGCCACCAAAAGGCGGTCGGTCACCTTGTACGCGTCCCAGTTGCGGAAGAAGTTTACGGAGCCATCGTGGCGCCGCTGGATGACGGTCCAGCCACCGGGGTCCTGCTGCTGGTCGCACCACGCCTGCGCCAGGCGCGTGGCGCCGCGCGGACGCAGGAGATACATCCCGCTCGCCTGCTGGCCCTCCTCCAGGGCGTGCAGGCAGTCCCGCCACGGGCCTATACGGGCACGCGCATACAGGAGGGCACGGGACACACGCAAGGTTGCCCGGATTGACTGCTGTGCCAGGCTAGGTGCGGGAGGTCACGGGACAGACCCAGGTGCCGTGGATTGACTGCTGTGCCAGGCTAGGTGCAGGAGGTCACGGGACAGACCCAGGTGGCGTGGGTTGACTGCTAGCCTAGGTGCAGGAGGTCACGGGACAGACCCAGGTGCCGTGGGTTGACTGCTATGCCAGTCTAGGTGCAGGAGGTCACGGGACAGACCCAGGTGCCGTGGGTTACTGCTATGCCAGGCTAGGTACAGGAGGTCATGGGACAGACCCAGGTGCCGTGGTTTGACTGCTAGGCTAGGTGCAAGAGGTCACGGGACAGACCCAGGTGTCGTGGGTTGACTGCTATGCCAGGCTAGGTGCAGGAGGTCACGGGACAGACCCAGGTGCCGTGGGTTGACTGCTATGCCAGGCTAGGTGCAGGAGGTCACGGGACAGACCCAGGTGCCGTGGGTTGACTGCTATGCCAGGCTAGGTGCAGGAGGTCACGGGACAGACCCAAGTGCCGTGGGTTGACTGCTATGCCAGGCTAGGTGCAGGAGGTCACGGGACAGACCCAGGTGCCGTGGGTTGACTGCTATGCCAGGCTAGGTGCAGGAGGTCACGGGACAGACCCAGGTGCCGTGGTTTGACTGCTGTGCCAGGCTAGGTGCAGGAGGTCACGGGACGGACCCAGGTGCCGTGGGTTGACTGTTATGCCAGGCTAGGTGCAGGAGGTCACGGGACAGACCCAGGTGCCGTGGTTTGACTGCTAGCCTAGGTGCAGGAGGTCACGGGACAGACCCAGGTGCCGTGGTTTGACTGACTGAGATGACCGACAGATGCACCACCAGCTGTGTCCCCTGCTGTGCACATACAAGCACGCATAGAGGAACAGGCTTACACATGCACACACATACATACAGACACGCGCACGCCCATTGCAATAGCGTGTGAATAAACATAGGGTCTTAAGTGCACCACTCAGTATGATCGCACATAAATAAGCAGACAATATAAATAAACAAGCAGAGCCATCTCTTTACTAGGCCCGATATTGTAAGATCGGAAGTTCGCCAGCGTTTGTTCAAGTCAGCCTGACTGCTGATAAGACTATGAATGTCGAACCCAGTCCAGAGTTGGCTGAAATCGTGAACTTGGAGAGGAAGCACGTGCTGCTGATGGGATGTCGAGGACATACTTATATGTGAAGAAGATGTATGGCTGAGTCTGAGTCTAGGTGAGTCTTTGGCTCTCTGTTTGAGTAACCGTGTCTCTGTGTGAGTCAATGGGTGTGTGAGTCTTTTTGGTATATCTGTGTGAGTCTATGGGTGTGTGAGTCTATGAGTGTCTCTGTATGAGTCAATGGGTGTGTGAGTCTATGGGTATCTCAGTGTGAGTTTATTGGTGTCTCTGTGTAAGTCTGTGTGTCTCTGTGTGAGTCTATTTGTATATCTGTGTGAGTCTATGGGTGTGTGAGTCTATGGGTCTCTCTGTGTGAGTCTATGGATGTGTGAGTCTATTGGTGTGTGAGTTTATTGGTGTTTCTGTGTAAGTCTATGTGTGTCTCTGTTTGAGTCTATGGGTGTCTCTGTGTGAGTCTCCGCGCGAGTCTCTGTGCGTGCCGGGTGTGACACGCGTCCCTGCAGCTAAGCTTTCTCTTCCTCCCCGCAGCCCGCGATGTTTGCTCGCCGCTGATTGCCTCCCCCCCCCCCCCCCCCCCGTGTAAATCACTTCCATGTGCTCCAGCCGGCTGGGGGGGGGGGCCCAGCTTCCAGCAGTGTCACGCTGCTAAAAACACCCTCGACAACTCCACCCCCCTCACAATGATAAAGACGCCCCCCCCCCCCCCACGTATAGCCTTGAACAGCATGATGGGGCAAGTGCTGTTAGCGAGCACCTATAAAGGCTGGCACGCACACACAAGGTGGTGGGTGGCCAGCACTACGCCCGACCGTCTTTGTCTCCCTAGTGGCGATGTTTACACACCGCACCAGGTAATCATTTGAGGCTGAGTCGACCTAGGGGAGGCTCAGGACCGGTTCAGATAATCGTCACCGGCGTTGGCCGTGAGCGGAAACCGAATCCGGGTTCGTAGCGTGGAGTAGCGCTAACCGCTGCGCCACCGCTCCACAAGGCCGCACGGCTCAGCGGTGTTAACGTCTCCTCCGACCCCGATTTCACGACGTTCCTGTCGCATGTATCGAAGGCTTCGTTTAGTTTTCGCGTTCGGACCGACGGGCGATCGCCCGATGCCCCACAGCTCTTCCCGAACAGTTCCCCGCCTGCCTGTGTGCTATGGGCTGTCGGACAACAACCCTCCATTGTACTCCCATCATCGGCTGGTCCACTGCCCCCTCCCCCCTCCACCGCCTCCACCAGCTCCGCCATGAAGAAGGAACATTGCCCGAAACGTCGTCTGTCGGAGTATAATTTCTTCCCCTGCGCGGCCACAACGTTATTGGCGCGCGAGTTGTGTTTTTTTAAGAGTTTTTTTTTGGGGGGGGGGGAGTTTGGATTTTTTCGGTTTTTAGTGGTTTTTGGGTTTTTTTTGTTTTTCGGATTTTTTTTGTCGTTTTTTTTTGGGGGGGGGGGGGGTTGGGATGTGGGCTCCGGTTGTGGCCCTCGATTTGACTTCACTCGGCCCCAAGTCCACTTTGTCGGAAGTAAACAGCGGTGGCTGCTCCACGGATAGACTCGAACCGGCCATGGGAATGTGGAACTCCCACCGCTGGTTCTCAAACATCACTGGCAATGAAGCATCACCCCAACCAGATGTGGAGAGAGAATGCATGCAAGTTTGCGTTACTCCATATAGATTTCTGTGCGTCTATGTGAGTCTCTAACAGACTATACAGGTCTCTGTGAGTGTATCTTAACGTGAGTCGATATGGGGGTCTCTGTTCGTCTGTACGTTTCTCTGTAAGTCTAAGGACCCGTCCTTAAGCATAAAACAAACAAACCTTCAACGTAATATCTCCGCTAAGTATCAATTAAATACAGATGTCACGATCGATTTGCAACGGACCCACTTGCTCGGTGGAGCTGCGTGTGGGAGCGGCAGCGTGGGAGATGGGGGTGGGGGAAGGTTTGAATTTGACGTCCCTGGGCCGTCCGACTCGGTACGTGGGAGCGCCAGGGGACCATGCACGGAGCGGGCGGCTCGCTGTTTTTGTCTGCATCGCCCCCATGGAAGAACATTTCTGGTCAAGTTCACCCACCCCTAACACCCCGCCCCTACCGCCCCCCCCCCCTACTATCCACCCCTAACACCCCCCCCCCTACAAACCCCCCTACCACCCCCCCCTACCAACCCCCTTACCACCCACCCCTAACCCCCCCCCCTTACCACCCACCCCTAACACCCCGCCCCTACCACCCACCCCTAACACCCCCCCCCCTACAAACCCCCCCTACCACCCCCCCCTTACCACTCACCCCTAACCCCCCCTTACCACCCACCCCTAACACCCCCCTACCACCCACCCCTACCACCCCCCCATACCACCCACCCATAACACCCCCCATTACCACCCACCTCTACCACCCACCCTACCACCCACCCCTACCACCCCCCCTACCACCCACCCATAACACCCCACTACCACCCACCCCTACCACCCACCCTACCACCCACCCATAACACCCCACTACCACCCACCCCTACCACCCACCCTACCACCCACCCATAACACCCCCCTACCACCCACCCCTATCCCCCCGCGCGTATCCGGCGTTCGACTTGGGCTCAGCGGAGCCGATGGCGTCATTGGATGTCCCCCTGCGTTTGAAGTCCCCCACGTGCGGCCAGCCTCCCCCGCTCGACTCGCTTAAGTAGCGGCGCTCGGGATCGCGCACCACGCGTGGCGTTCACATCCTGGCTAGGGTCGACTCAGCACCGTCATGATAGTCGTCACGGCCTCTTTTGATCTCGCTGGCAGTCCGTCGCCTCCTCGTAGCTATTCTATCGCTGCTACCATGGGGGGAGGGGTGGTGGTTCTTTGGGCTTCACTCGTTGAGTCCTCTACCCGTGTGGAGGAGTCGCCCTACCAGGCTATTTAAATCTCATCCGCCACAATAACACACCCACTCACCACACTGCACCTCACAATAACATACTCACTCACCCACTCACCACACCGCTCGTCACAATAACACACTCACTCACCCACTCACCACACCACACGTCACAATAACACACTCACTCACCCACTCACCACAGGTCACAATAACACACTCACTCACCACACGTCACAGTAACACACTCACCCACTCACCACACTGCACGTCACAATAAAACACTCACTCACCCACTCACCACACTGCACGTCAAAATAACACACTCACTCACCCACTCACCACACCATACGTCATAGTAACACACTCACTCACCCACTCACCACACTGCGCGTCACAACAACACACTCACTCACCCACTCACCACACTGCACGTCACATTAACAAACTCACTCACCCACTCACCACACCGCTCGTCACAATAACACACTCACTCACCCACTCACCACACTGCACGTCACAATAACACACTCACTCACCCACTCACCACACTGCACGTCACAATAAAACACTCACTCACCCACTCACCACACGGCACGTCACAATAACAAACTCACTCACCCACTCACCACACCGCTCGTCACAATAACACACTCACTCACCCACTCACCACACTGCACGTCACAATAACACACTCACTCACCCACTCACCACACTGCACGTCACAATAACAAACTCACTCACCCACTCACCACACCGCTCGTCACAATAACACACTCACCCACTCGCCACACTGCACGTCACAATAACACTCACTCACCCACTCACCACACTGCACGTCACAATAAAACACTCACCCACTCACCACACGTCACAATAACACACTCACTCACCCACTCACCACACTGCACGTCACAATAACACACTCACCCACTCACCACACCGCACGTC